TATCTAATCAAAATCCAGTCCAAACCAAATCCAAATCCAATCCAAATACAACCCTAATCCAATCCAAATCCATTTCAATCTCAATTAAATCCAAATACAATTTAAATAAATTCTAAATGAAATCCACATCCAGTCCAAATCCAACCCAAATCCAATCCAAATCCAATCAAAATCCATTCCAAATCCAGTCCAATTTCAATCCAAATCCAATCAATATCCAATCTAAATCCAATCCAAATTAAAACCCAATCCAAATCCAATCTAAATTCAATTCAAATTCAATCCAAATACAACCCAAATCCAATCCAAATCCATCTCAAATTCAATCCAAATCCAATTCAAATTAAATCCAAATCAAACAAAACTCAATCTTAATTAAATCCAAATCCAATTTTAATAAATTCTAAATGAAATCCACATCCAATCCAAATCCAATCAAAATCCATTCCAAATCCAGTCCAATTCCAACCAAAATCCAATCAAAATCCATTCCAAGTCCTAAATCCAATCCAATTCCATCTAAAATCGAATCCAAATTAAATTCAAATTCTTCATAAATCCAATATAAATAAACTCCAAATCCAATTCGGATCCAATATAAATCCAAGCAAAATCAAATATAAATCCAACCCAAATCCAATCCAAACCCAATCCAAATTCAACGCAAATCTAATCAAAAGTACTATCCACTCCAAATCCAATCCAAATCCAATCGATATCCAATCAAAATCCAATCAAAATCCAATCCAAACCAAATCAAAATTCAATCCAAATACAATCTAAATCCAATTCAAATCCAATCCAAATACAACCCAAATCTAATCCAAATCCATCTCAATCTAAATTAAATCCAAATCCAATTTAAATAAATTCTAAATGAAATCAACATCCAATCCAAATCCAATCAAAATCCATTCCAAATCCAGTCCAATTCCAACCCAAATCCAATCAAAATCCATTCCAAGCCCTAAATCCAACCCAATTCCATCTAAAATCGAATCCAAATTAAATTCAAATTCTGTATAAATTTCAATATAAATAAACTCCAAATCCAATTCGGATCCAATATAAATCCAACCAAAATCAAATATAAATCCAGGCTCTTTGTTCGTTGCTAGCAGTTCGGTGCCTTTTATTGCTACGGTGCAAGATGTGTGAAGTAAAAAATACCATCAAGTTTAGCTTCAGCCATTGTGATGCTAAACCAAACATCGGAGAGATAGTAAATTTCGCCAAAGCACTCGACGCGGATCCGGCTGAAATGGAAGCTGTTTATCGCATTGGTGAGGAAAGGGGAGTCTTCATGAAGTTCAAATCAGAGGAAGCGATGCTCCATGCTCTGACATTCAATTCGGAGGATTTAATCTTCCACTATGCGAATGGAACGACGGCAAAGGTACGCATGTCGCATGCTGGTGAATTCATTCAATATGTGCGTGTGTATGACTTGCCACCAGAGGTACCCGACAACGAGCTGGATAAAGTGCTGGGGAAATATGGGAAAATTAAACGCATCATCCGGGAGAAATTTCCAACTGATCTGTGTTTTGAGGTATATACAGGGATACGCGGTATATATATGGATGTGAAGAAGGAAATCCCCACGTCATTACATTTCTTCAATCGCAAAGGAAATATTTTTTATGATGGCAACAAAGATAAATGTTTTCTGTGCAAAGCGGACGGACACCGGAAGCTTTCCTGTCCCAAGCGGAAGGCTCGGAAGGAACCGGAGAAGCAACTGAAGGAAAAAGGAAAGCAAAGTGAAAGAAAACAAAACAGCAGCAGTACGTATGCTGGTGTAGTGGTGGAAGGTGCGTCGTTTGTCATTAGCGATCAGGAAACGGACACGGGGTTGGAGATGTTGAATGAAGAAAACGAAATGGACGTGACGACCCCGACGACCGACGAGAGTAGCGGAGAGCATGCAACGGGAAACGATGTTCAGAAGCAGCAGCAGCGATCACGATTCGGGTTCAATGAAAATGAAGAACAAATTCGGGAAAGAAAGAAGTTGCGTGCACGGGAGAAGACCGCTTTGTCACCGCTTCGATCGCCACCAAGAAAAATCATATGATAAAATATGTTTGTATATATAAATATATTTTTTTTGTATTTTGAGTACCAAAATTGGTATTCTATGTTACTCGGCTCCGCTAAGTTATTTTTATAACATTTGAGCCTGCCAAATAAACGAACTGAAAAAAAAAAAAAATATAAATCCAACCCAAATCCAATCCAAACCCAATCCAAATTTAACGCAAATCCAATCAAAAGTACTATCCACTCCAAATCCAATCAATATCCAATCAAAATCCAATCCAAACCAAATCAAAACCCAATCCAAATCCAATCTAAATCCAATCAAAATCCAATCCAAACCAAATCTAATCCCAACCCATCTCAATCTAAATTAAATCCAATTCCAAATTAAATAAATTCTAAAAGAAATCCACATCCAATCCAAATCCAGCCCAAATCCAATCCAAATCCAATCCAAATCCAATCAAAATCCATTCCAAATCCAGTCCAATTCCAACCCAAATCCAATCGAAATACAATCTAAATCCAATCAAAATGCATTTCAAATCCTAAATCCAACCCAATTTCATCTCAAATCGAATCCAAATTAAATCCAAATCCTGTCTTAATCCAATATAAATAAACTCCAAATCCAATCCAAATTCAATCCAAATCCAACATAAATCCAATCCAAATTCTGAGCATAACTAAAAAGGCATTTCATGGGAATATCAGGAAAATACTAAGTGAATGCTGAGGAGAACTCTGGAACTGTGAACTGAGGAGAAGGAGTGATTTTCAGGGAATCGCTACACTATGAAAATTTCAAAGATTGTTTTTATGTGTCCAACACACAATTTGATCAACAATTGAAATCTATGTGTCGGACACGTACTTGATTTGTGCACACATGAAAACCATGTGTGACCACACATACTATTCATTTGACACATAAATTTCATGTGTATTTCTGAGTGGATTATGGTTATGTGCGGTCACATGAAAATCATGTGCAATATCACATGGGAATTCGTCAATAAAAATGTGTGGAATTTTTTGAGCGTTGGTAGTATCATAGAGGTAACTCTAAGACTAGTAGGTCCCGAAGAAACGTGCTCAACTTTTTGGCTCAGCTCTGGTACTATCTTCGGTCCCAAGCTAATCGATGCACCCCTCGAAACATTGGAAAATCCACGAACCCCTAATTTTATCTGTCAAACTTTCATAGCGAATCAAAACAAACATTGTGTAGTACTGGAATTTATACTAGAATGGGGTACGTTAATCGATTTGCTTGGGATCAATAGGCTAGTCAAGTAGTGAGCCAATTTAAAATCGTTAGTTTCGTATTGATTGTTGGTAATACGCTGCAAGAATTATTAATAATATGAAGTGCTTTGCAAAGTGAATTCAGAGAGTGTTATGTAGTAGATTTTTAAGAGTATTATCAATCTTTAGGGTAATTCGTTATAACTGTAACCTTTAAAAATGGTCATAACGATTGAGCGCTTGCATGAATTTTTGATATCATTATATTCCTAGTATAACCACAGACAAACAGACATAACACATTGAATATTTCTCACTGTAAAACATCGTCGCTAAAACATATCCGCCATCTGTTGAGTATACTGTAGTGGGCACTACACTGAACAGATGGCGGTAGTGTGTAAACGTCAAACGCAAGGGAATTGACTATGCGCGCCACCGGTGGCGGTACTACCAACTACGATACTTTTAAATTGTCCGTTAAATGCTTGTTCGATGAACAACTTGCGAGAGTTATGTCTGTTTGTCTGTGGTATAACGTTCAACGTAGCATACTTAAATTCAAATCTCTCTCCCTTGGTGATGCGTCTAATCTCTGATATTGAACTCATTTTCCACGCATGGTTGCTTTTTACTTTCATAATAATGCGAATAATAAATGTTTCATTCTTTCGTAGATTTCAGTTTCTAAAAGATAACACACGATTTTATACAGATTTATGACATGCTTTATTTTCACGTCCATACCTGCTCGAAATCGGAAACGAATGAAATTTCAAATTCTACTATCAATACAAGCTGATATGTGTACACACTTTTAAACAAAAATACTTGAAAATTTACTTATTTTACACATTGAGAATTACAAATTTGTGAAATCGGTGACAGTTATTCTGAACCACCCTGTAAATTGATCCTGATGAGCGAAGTCTATGACTAGATACCGAAGAAGTTTGAAAGTAGTAAATGAAATACGTAGGGGAAAAGTTCTCTTCGGCAATACCTTAACCTATAATCGTCAGGGGGGTAAACAACGTCCTTGAGAGCTCAATTTTGACATGTGGATACATTGTGTTTCAGAGCAACTATTGGCCAACTTTGAGTGCTCTAGTACTTTGTTTACCTCCTGACGATAATAGGTTAAGGTATTGCCGAAGCCAACTTTTCCCCTATCTGTTATAATTTTTTTATGTGATAGTGAAAGTGGAAGTGATACAACCTCTTCTCATATCATGGAGTTAATCGAGCAATCTTGCTGCAAACTTTAAGCGATTTAGCAAGCCTTGTTTGTAGATTGCTATCGAGATGGTTGCAGTTTCCTTCACACATCACATCGCTAATAATCATGAATTGAGCTGATTATCTGGCGCTTACCCCGATTACGATTTGTGAATTTAGAAAAATGCGGTGCCTTCCCGTTTTTGACAACACCCGATTTTTGTCTTTTTTGCATTTTATAAAATGTATCGAATGCTTTATTCAATTTGAGATTGTAATGGGTTAGGTATTTCTTAAAAAAATGTCTATCCAACTACCCAACTAACAATGTTGGCTGCTGACTAGCTTATACAGCAAAAAATTGCTATATGCTGCTAATTTGTGCCTGTATAGGCTGGTCTGCAGCTTGATTTTTTGTTGGGTAGTACATATCTGAGGAAAGTCATAGCTGATGAGGTTGTGTTGACAAAACTATGCTTATCCTCCCACAGGCCCCCGTAACCGTTCGAGTTCGCAAAGCCCAGGACGCGGACGCTCCCTACCAGCTGCGATACATCGGCCAACCGGAGCTGGGCGATCGCACCCGACTGACGCTGGTCCGTAGCAGTCTGGACATTGCTTGCACTCCCCACGTGGTGGACTTCCTCACCGAAATGGGCTTCCGCGTAGATTTCGAGTACATCACAAAAGGTTTGTCCATTTCCATCGAGCGTTCAATGGCTTTAGTTCATGACTTATTTCATATGCAGGCTACATGTTCCGCAAGGGCCGGATGAAGGTAACTGTGTCGAAAATCTTCAAGGTCAACAGTTCCGAGCCCATCTCGCAGAGCTACCTGGTCGAGCTGTCCGTCCTGGCCCCGACCGGTCAGGATGTCATCGCCGAGGATATGCGAATCTTTGCCGAACAGCTGAAACCGCTGGTGCAGCTGGAGAAGATCGACTACAAACGATTCGCTCAGATGCCCTGAATCACGCCTAAGAACCCGAAGAAAGACATTAAGAAATAATTACCGAACTCTATCACTTCGTTTGACTTTCCCCGAAAAACCCCGCAGACTAATCGGAAGCGCATGAATGAGAGCACAATTCCGACGAGATGAAAGAAACCCATCGCTGACGGACAGCGAGCGGACGGGTGACGTTCAAACGGAAAATTTACGAGGAATGTGACTCATGCTGAGGTGCTGTAATATCTCGGCAGAATGTTTGTTACGCTCACTTTGTGCGCAAAAATGTGATTTGGTTGTTTTTGTTGCTCACGTTTGTTCGGCTTCAAAGGCGTGCGCACACTCTCTTTTAGCGAACACTTTCACGTCTAATTAAAAATGGTGTAAAAAATGTACTCATGCTTCTCGCCTGATATTGTTGGTCCCACCCGACGGTCCAACCTCCCCCGGAACATCCTTTTTGGTCTCCCACTCTCGCGGCAATGCACAATGGGCGAAGCCGGTCGTAATTGATTTTTGTTTTTGATGAATTATTATTCTTATGATATGTTTTTTTTTTCAAATCCTCAGATGGATTTTGGCCCCAAATTGCAAAATATCAGGATAATCCGACAATAATTTGATTTTGTGCATATCGGCAAAGATAAAAATTTGTTCGTCATAATGTAACACACCATAATAGTGACATAACTGGTACACCTACCCTATATGTATAGTAAATTTCAATGGCATCTTTTTTTCTCATCCTTAACGACAAAAACACACTCAATAAAATCACACAAAATTCGTTATAACCTTTGTTTCCCGGAAAAAAAAATTGAACGTCAAAGCCCATGAATGATTTCTATAGATTGTCGTCAACATTTTTTGACCTGAATATTCATCAAAAGCGAATTATTTCCACTTTTCCAATTTTCTGTATGGGGATTTTTATTACTTACTACCAATGGAGCAGCACCATCTGTATGCAAAATAGCCTTGACTAAATGGTTAATTGATTAGTATCAAGAAGATAATTTTTTCGGTTATATTTAGGAGTCACCCTAGGGTTTCGATTTTGTCTTCATCTGGAGTATTAAAAATGTTTAATGGTGTTAAAACCACATAGAACAGAAATGCAAGCTTAAACAAATTGTTCGAAAAATTATGTTTAAGAATTCAAATTAAAATACGTTAGACACACTAGCGCCGCTATACGGAATGTTGTGACTCGAGTTATCACTTTTTGCGATTAATGAGTAAACTGAACTAAAATTTGGGTTGATCTTATTGATCGTGTATCCAAATGAACTGTCAAATCATTTCAAAACAAATAAGACTAATCAACGGAAATCAATCGAGTTTCTGCGGGAACCATTATTATCGAATAAAAAACTAAGCTCTTTTACAGTTTCCTGTAGATTTACTTCCGTTTTTCGTTCCAATTTTAACTGGACATAGTAGTCAGGAGCAAAACTGACTTTTCTTCAGTTCACTGGCGGCGTATCTTCAAATTAAAGAGCCTGAATTTATAAAGAGACGACATGTCAAAATTGGAATAATCGATTATCTGTCAAATTCATAGGAAAAGTTATTCCAATCGAGCAGAAGACCTGTCAAATGTATAAGGTGTCGCCTCTTTACCCAATTCAGTCTCTTTACTTCAAATGATTCTGTGAGGGTGTGAACTCCAACTAGCCCTCATTTAAATTAAGGTAAATGTGGTAAGATTTGAACACTGCTTACACTGCATCCGTTCTTTCAGGAATTCGAAAAGTCTCTGGGGGAAGTGTACGGAACATAACTTTTTCGTTGCAAGAGTTTGGACGCCACGTTAGAAGAAAATCTCCTGTAGTTTGGGCAATTCAGCATCCTTAGGAAAATTGTGAAAAGATTTTCGCTTGGTAACGCCTTGTTTATTTGCGCACTAATAAAGCTTGCACTTGCGGCCCATGTTTTGGTCGGTTTTTAACAAACAATGTTTTGCTCACAACAATTTTCACATTCATGTTAAGATGACGTCTGCCGGTCATCGACGTCGATGGGCAGTGACACTAGCGCTAGTTTCAAACGTCTATTCAAAATAGCAGTTAAATTTCTTACACACTTTAGGAATTTGACTTAGATGTCTGTTCTCTGTGTTACAACATAGCCAGACAACGTTCAAAACAGATGTCATTAATTTTTAACTATTCATAACATTTGCAATAAAAATATCATAATGAAGTTTTTAGAACCACCCTAAAATACTAGATTTTTTAAATTTAATTATTAGAATTCAGGAGCATCATACTACTAAAAAAAGTATGTTGATTACGATTTTAAACAACAAAATCATAATGACCGATTTTTGTATGTGATTGGCCCACTGTGGAATGTGATTGGCTTGTTTCAATTTAAATGCTCTAATGTTGGTATATAGGGGAAATGGATGTAATGTCGACATAAATGCCCCTAATATGGGCCGATAAAAATCTATTAGTACCGTCCCAATGACGCGTGCATCTAGATAAAATTGATAAATAGCAGATTTTTAGCGATGGGCCCAATCTTAGATCCATAGGCCAACATTAGAGCCATTTCCCCTAAATCTAAAAATTGGGCCCATGGATACACACATATCATATTCTTTCATTGGTTCGTTTTGGACAATTTACATGGATATTTTTGGATGCTTGTGCAAAATTGTCCAAAAAATGCGTTCTTTTGAAACTTATATGTTGGTCCAATATTAGGGCACTTAGACCGACAATAGGGCCATTAACCCTATATACTATCCGCTCAGCTGGGAAGAATTTCTTAGGAATTTCACCCGCGAGGAATTGAGGCTTTCGTTCTTGAGATTTGTGTTTGTTTATGGTCGATCTTCAAAAGACGTTTGCGGATCGGACCTATAGAGGAGGACTCTACCCCCGAGAGATAACAAGTCAACAATAAGTATTTTTACTATTGCTTCTGTGTTTGCTTTCTGGCAAATCGTGTTGGGTAATTTTCAGCTTTTTGAAATTTTCATAAAAGCTACTGAATTATTGATGATTGAACAAAAGTGAGATAATACACACAGTGGTGTAGTGAGGGTTTGCTACGCCCTTGGCACATCATGACAATGACACTCCTTTACTAATCTATTAAAACTAGCTCCAGGTTTCTAAACAAAGGGTGGAACAGAACTTCTTTGTTATACCTTGTACAGACATACAAAGTACATTGTTGTACCATGGAGGTAACTCTAAGACCACTGGGTCCCGAAGAAAATCATTATTATTTTTGGCTCACTCAATACCAGAACAACGGTCCCAAGCAGTCCCAAGCTATTTCACTCACCCCTGCATGTTGTGCATGAATCCACACACCCCTGATGTTATCTGTCAAACTTTCATAGCGAATCAAAACAAACATAGTGTAGTAATAGAATTTCAACTAGAATAGGGTACGTTAATCGTTTGCTTGGGACCAATAGGCTACTAAAGTGGTGAGACAATTTAAAATCGTTAGTTTCGTATTGATTGTTGGTTGTACCACAAACGAAGTGACAGACGACTAACTGGCGAAGAAATCCATTAAAATAATGTGGTTCACTGTAATAGAATTTTCTTGGAAGCTTGTGCCATCATCCACCAGATGGGTTAGTTTTTTTGTTTTGATTTGAACAAAGTTGATTTTGTGTACAATGATTCTTTGACAGTGTGCAAAGAGTGCGTATCATTTTGTCATTTTTTTATGCATTTCAGTTTTGAGTAGAGTGAAAGAGATAGTTCCAAAACATTCTAGTACATTTGGTGAAAATGCTAGTTCAATCTAGTAGTAGTGTTGCCATGTTGTACAATCCAGTAGTAGTGGTGTTGCCATGTGGTACACTGAAAAATTGCAATAGCAGGTTAGTCACCAAAGTTTTCGAGCCGCTCCGTCTGTCACTTCGTTTGTGGTGGTACTGTTTATGTGGACTGTCGATTTTTTCTTGGACAGATTTTCTCGATAATTTTTCAGACTACAGTGAGATGTAAAACACACTTCTGTAATGTCCACAAGCAACATCTGTTCACCAACCGGTAGAAACTATTGATTTTAAATTGGCTCACTACTTGACTAGCTCGCGGAAATTGCAATTAGTGTGGTTTACATCTCACTGCAGTCTGAAAAATTATCAAGAAAATCTACCCACGAAAAAATCGACTAAGTCCACGTAAACAGGGGTACACGACGTTAGGCATACGGACGTTAGGCATAATGTACAATACACACAAAAAATAATCGTTAATAAATTTAAAAAAAACCATTGGTAAAATTAAAAGTTAGCGTTGGTTCTTTTTGGTAGAAAGTATTAAGCATTCAAAACTAAAGTCCCCTAACTGTCAATTCAAAAGTAGCTCTCTTTCTACTTTTAAAAGTTGAAACTTTCAAATCGAATTGTAGAACTGTCAAACTGAAAACCTATAGTTTTTAAATTGACGTATAACAAATTTTAATTCAAATGATAAGCATTTTAATCGCAATTACATACGTTTTTATCTTAAATTTGAATAAAACTTAAATCAATTACTTTTATTTTTTAAAAGAAATAACCAGGGAAATTCCTTTTATTCTAATTTATTTTTTATAATAATTATATTGTCCATTACAAAGCAGCAGAAGTGACGCTCCCGATGCTTTTACAGTATGAATTGTATTATTTTAAAGATTGTTGATCAAAGCTGGAATAATTTACTCCTGACGGACTCGGTGTGGGGGTACTTGAATGAAAGTGGCATCTTGATGGGGGTGGGAGTCGAGGTGGGAGTAAGGCCGTGGCCAGGGTAGACGCAACACGCGACGCGATGCGATGCGACTCACGCAAGGAATAATAATAAATAATAAGGTTCTTTTGAATTGGTCGCGTCTACCCTGGCCGTACCCTAACCTTCCTTTCCGGCAAGACTGAGGCTGCTGAAAATTAAAACATCTCAATTAGAACAATCGGAAATTCATTGAAAATTATACCAAATTAACGTCAATTGAAGCACGCCATCATTGTCTCCATGTTATGATAGAGTTTATGTTTCATCTAACATTGCTTCCCTCCGTTGGCTGCTTTGACGATCACCTGCAATCCGATGAAAA